CACTCGCCGAACCCGATGGTTCTATCAGGACCGTAGACTACACCGCTGACCCAGTCAACGGATTCAACGCATATGTCCACAAGGATGCTGCGGCACATCCCGCTCCAGTAGCCGTCGCTCATGCTCCAGTCGCCGTCGCTCATGCTCCAGTACTTGCCGCTAGAGCCTATGCTCCAGCTTACGCCACCGCCGTCCATGCCCCAGTCACAACCCTCCTCCATTAATTGATTATTTATGTATAGTTAATAAATTATTTATACAAATTATAAATTTTAGATGGATATTTACACAATTCCTGCATCTCTGCTGTTATGGGTATTTATTTGGTTTGATTTAAAGAATTTTTTTTTTATTGTTGTTTACAACTGTTAAACTAATATAATATAAAATTATATTATATTAATATAAAGGAACATATCACATGGGAGTGACTTTTCATCCAAATATTCATTAGTAGCTCTTTAGCGATGATTGTTTGAATTCATTGAAGATTTATTTTTCATACGCCTCAGAATGATAACGGGAATAGTTTAGGATGAAAGATTACGAACTAGAGCATTTAGCTGGGCCAAGATTTCGTAATTCAAGAGATCAAATTTGAAACAAATGGAATATTGAGATAATTTTGAAAAATAATTATATTTATATAGTAACAAGCAGCATTAAGGATGATCTGTTCGATTTTGGATTTAATGGTTTCATAGAACCTCCGATTTCCTAAATGACCCTGATAATAGAGATACATTTGAGCTTTTTGTGATGATATTGGTATTTCCATTTGATCCTTACATCGATTAACATGATCGATAAAGGATGAGATTTATTTTTTATAAATTGAAACGTGATTGTGCAAGCATAAAATTTATATTATTTTTAATTATTTCGTTTTCGGTTACGATAAGGTGGACTTATATCGAATAAATTTGAAAATGTTAAATGATTCGATACGTGCTATTTAAATCTAACGTATTTTTAAAAATATAGTCACTGATATAATAGTGATAGTTCTCAATATCGAAGAAATTTTCATTTAAAAAAAGATGTTATTGAACATTACAGATGTTAAAAAACATTAAATAAATTATTATTTTTTTGTAAATTATTAGTTATCTACGTATTAGTTGAATAAAATTGTATAAGTTCATAAAATTAAAAATGTTAAAATCCTTAATATTTAATGTTTTCTATGCCGCTGGGATTAAATAAAGGGAGACTTGAGAAAAACATTACAATGAAAGAAAGTGAATATAACCTGAAAATATTTTTACAGTTACATTATTTTTTGAAGCTATGTAAGTGAAAGCCTCAACACGAAATAAATTCAAAATCATTCACAATTTCACTAAATTTAAAAGCCTGGGGAGCATTCCTGTTTTTATTTTTTAATTTCTTCAATAAAATAAATTTTTATTTTTATATATAAGATACATACATTTCTTTTAGAATAAATTTGCTATCTACTGATGTATTGAGCAAATATGATATCAAGAAGGACCGGATGAAAAAAAAAGATTAAAGTAAGTATATCAGCAGAACAGAATAAAGAGATTTTTTTTAAACTAGTAAAAATATATAATAAAATATAACTAAATTACTAAACTAAACAGAAAAAAAACAACTACATAATAATTCGAAAATAAAATACAACACAGCAAGTAGGGAAATGCAGTTAGTCTTCTGCTTAAAATTATTATAAAAATATTTGACAGTTGCTGTGATGAATGGAATGTTAAGGTCAGTGTGCAACGTAAGATTGGATGTATTGAAGGAGGCATCTACTATTCCCCGCAACTTTTGAGTGGAAAGATGGAATAAGATTTGATTTCTATTGCTCATTATAACTCGGTGCCATTTTTACAAAATGGTTTAATGGGGACCTTGTAAACAGGTAATTTATTAGTCATCCATAATTTTTAATGTGTGTTAAGAAGCCTAGAAATATGTCCGTATCACTGATCAAGTTGTTTTTTTTTTCTTTTTTATTTACATGACAGTTATTTGTCCGAGCAGAGACCGAAATATCATCCTATTTTGAATTCGGTATAGTGATTTCATTTTAACATACTTAACGAAAAGCTTCACGTCGAAGTGTAAATGAAACGGATTGGCTCTTGGGCTCATACATTCTTTTTCAATAATAAATGTCTGTAAGTAACAATAAAAATATTCAACACTAATAAAATTGATGTTGTTAATAGATTCCCACTTCGTTACTTTCTAAGCTTCTACACATATATTGCGATATGACTCGCGCTACGATACTACTGTCGGCGATGATATGACGATACATTTGCATGTTAGCAGTTACATAGAGTACGATAATCCGCAACGATACCGCAAAGGGAAATGTCATTGCCGAGACATATCGGATTCTGCCTGTAGAAGCCTTTAAATTCTTAACAATGTCAACTTTGGCCAGGTTCTTCATAGATTGATGAAAATCTAATATAATCTAGTCTCGTTCGTTTGTTTGGTTTAAGTAAGAAATAAGATGTTGGAATGTTCTGTACCATTTTAGAAATAAGATAATGTTTAGTTAGGTATAGTCATGATAGAGTATATATAATTGATTTATTTAATCTAAAACAACCAAAAAGAGTACAAACGCACCGAAATGCGTTTACAGAAATAATCATATAGGAAAGTGAGACTTGTTTCACTGATAATTATAGCTAGTCAGCTTTGGCCTTGCCCTTGTCCTCTGTTAGCATCTCCCGTCGTGTTTTAAGGACTTTCATTTTCCATTATGGTAGGGATTTAATTATTTCGTAATTTCTTATGCATAGTTTAAATAAGAAACTTATAAATATTTACGAAACTCTAGTTTTTCATAGAAAAAAACGATGTACTTTGGCACTAAAACGAATATTATATATTTTTGCTTTTTTTTTTTTCAACATACTGTAAAACATTCATAAAAATTATATAAAAGAATTTTTCCGAGTAGAAGGGATGTATTGATGAAGGTCAATATCATGTAAGAAAAAAATATGTATTTTTGCAACAATGATATACGTATCATAAATATTAGAAACTATATTTACGTCTCCCATGATTTTCATAGAAAAACAATATACTTAAAAAAGAACAAAAATATAAAAGAAACCGTATTCAAGAGTTTCCTTGCTGACAACTCCTAACATAATAAATATTTTTTCCTCCTCCTTTTTTTTTTTATTACAGTAGTGCATCACCCATTTTTCGTTTTTTTAAAAGTATTTACCCAGTGTACCAGACGCCCCTACCAAGCACCTCTCCCTCTCTCCCCTTACATCCCAATAAATTGCATGCATTTGTGTTCCTTGTAATTATTTATTAGAAAAAAGTCAATTTTTCTTTATAAAAAAGTGCCTGGATTGTCCCAAAATGACCTCCAAACGTGGCGAATTGGCGTAATAGACCTACTTTAGTTTTTCGGTCACTGAGATTCAGTATTAAGTTTAATTTCGTCATGATTGGCCTTATATCAAAGCTGGATGGTTAGAGAATAATAAAACAAGAAATAATAAAGATTCTTGTTGATAGAAATCACCAGTAGACAAACTTTTTCAAGTTGTTCAAACTAAAGTTGGACATAAAGCGTCGTTTGTAAATAAATAGCCAACAGGAACGAAAAAAGTCCCAAAGTCAAACACGTGGAAAATACATTTCTTGTTCTAAAACAGTGATTACTTTTTAAAATATTTGAAGGATTATAAAATATAAGAAAATACACTTAATCGCCGCAAAAGCGGCACTTACATAGGCGAATACAGTTCTCTGCCACACCATTTAATATTCATAAATAAATAGTAATAGCATTACAATAACAGTTTTAAGTACAGCATATAAATTTTACTAACGAACAAATATTAATAAAATAATTTAATTGTCCAAAGCAATTTTTTGTAATGAAATCGAACAGTCTTAAGATGATAACACTCCGTAAGAACAAAAAGGTACGTAGTTTGGATAATATCATTCATTAAAAACTTTCTTAAAATAAAGTTCATTTAAAAATAACAGGTAGTTAGGATCAAAACAGTAACTTTTTTTACCAATTTCATTAAAATTAGTAGAAGACTGTAAAAATAAAATCATACGTTTTTTACCAGTTTAAAAACATTAGTTTATCTTAAGCGAGATTTGTATTTACGTTGTTTAGTTTAGAGAAATATGCTTAACATTAAGACTATAGAAAATTGTTTGTAATTTAACATTTAATTAAAAAATTTGAGCCACGTCACCCATAAAAACATAAAATTAATTAAAAACGAAAAATTATAAGTTTTTCTTTGCAATATACAAAACTTTGCCCATTTTTTAAGCTCGATAGTTCACTTCCTGCTGGGTTAAGAAAAAAATGTCAGCTAATTTTAAACTGTTTAGGATTTAAGAGAAACAGAGAAACATATAAACCATTTTTATATATGTCGCATTGAAAAGATGATATTTAGGATAAACAAAAAAAAAAAAAAAAAAAAAATTCAATGGTTATTGGAGCACTGCAGTAATTCTATGAAGTTGTATTAAAAACATGGGCTACGTAAATATAGTTTGTAATAATTATAAGGAACACAACTGCATGCAGTTATTGGGATGTGATAGAGGGTGTGCGGTAGGGAGGGTCTGGCCCACTGGTTAAATAATTTAAAAAAATGGGTGATGCACTAGAGTAATAAAAATAAAGAGGCGGAGAAAAAATATTTATTATGTTAGGAGTTGTCGGCAAGGAAACTCTTGAATACAGTTTCCTTTATATTGTTTTTTCTTTTTTAAGTATATTGTTTTTATATGAAAAACACGGGCTACGTAACTATAGATTGTAATAATTATAATGTGTATATCATAGTTGCAAAAATACGTATTTTTTTCTTATATGATATTGACCTACATCAATACACCCATTTTATAATTTTTATGAATGTTTTACAGTATGTTGAAAAGAAACAAAAATAGGTAATTTTCGTTTTAGTGCCAAAGAACATTGTTTTTTTCTAGGAGAAACTAGTGTTTCGCAAATATTTATTAATACCTTATTTAAACTATGCATAACAAATAACGAAATAATTAAATCCCTACCAGAATCGAAAATGAAAGTCCTCAAAATACGACGGGAGATGCTAACTGGGGACAAGGGCAGGGCCAAAGCTGACCAACTATAAAGGAGGGGCCGACCCTCTCTGCTCCAGTTCCTCCTCAGTCCTCAGCCATGGCACGTCTTGTGAGTGTTCCAGGATATCTTTAGTGATCCACCTCACAGCATCAAGCAGTTCTTAATTTCAACATATTATGTTACAGGTACTCCTCATCGCCGCCGTCTTCGGCGTGGCCTCCGCCCAGCTGATCTCTCACGCTCCTCTTGCCTACTCCAGGCCATTGGCATACGCCAGGCCCCTCGCCTACGCCAGGCCATACGCTTCCTACGCTGCTCCAGTCGCCACCATCGCTCATGCTCCAGTAGCCGTAGCCCGCGCTCCAGTTGCCATCGCTCATGCTCCAGTCGCTGTAGCACATGCCGCCCCCGCCCTCGCTGTTGCTCCCAGAGTTGAGGAATACGACCCACACCCATCCTACTCCTTCTCTTACTCCGTCAACGACGCTTCCACCGGGGACTCAAAGGGACAGCATGAGACCCGTGACGGAGATGTAGTCCAGGGTAGCTACTCCCTTGCCGAACCAGACGGTTCCATTAGGACCGTAGACTACACCGCTGACCCAGTCAACGGATTCAACGCATACGTTCACAAGGATGCTGCAGCACATCCCGCTCCAGTAGCCGTCGCTCATGCTCCAGTCGCCGTCGCTCATGCTCCAGTCGCCGTCGCTCATGCTCCAGTCGCCATCGCTCATCCTCCAGTGCTTGCCGCTAGGGCCTATGCTCCATCTTACGCCACTACCCTCTTGCATTAAGTTTTATTAATGCTTTATATTTAAATTATTTATAAAACCATAAAAATTATAAAATATTATTTACTTAATGTTTTATGTACTTTATATATATTCCATGATCCTCGATGTCCTTAATTATTATAATGATTAACTTCTAAACATAGTTACAGTTACAGTTAAATAATATCTACTGTTTTTTTCTTTACTTCTTTGCCTGATGCATTGATGATTTATCTTCTTATTTTCATCGCTAAAAAAATTAACCATAAAAATATATTCCTAATTAAAAATTTCAGCGACATAAAATTATGTGTATCTTCTTGTACAAAATTATTCTTATTTTTTTTTTCTAATGGGAATACATCTATAGTTACTTATTGGAGTTCCATTACGTTATCTATAGAATACTAATGACGTAGACTATATGTAAATAATTGTTAATAATTATAGTAATCAAACAGAAAATGCACACATCTTCAAAACAGTTGTAAAGATTAAACTGATTTTATAAAAGCAACATTTAACTATGAGAGATTAAAGCAATACCATAATCAAATTTGATGTTACTAATTTATGGAGGAGAAGCGAATTAATTAAGGTATAAAAAAAACTGTAAATTGATGAATTCAGACTGACACATATAAGATTTTAAATGAAATAAGGTTTCATGTTAGTTCATTTTGTTCCTGATTCGAATAGGAGACAATAAGGATGGAAAGAGTGTATACTCCTGCCAATTTCCCAAATAATTCATTTGTTCGCCATTCAAATAAAATAAAAGTCAATTTTTCCAGGCCTGAATGTTATCTGTCAATCACTCAATGCACGCTCAAAAAGTATTCTAAAATACTTTAAAATTATCTATTTCACCTCATCATATGTTTTATGTTCTATGGTTTATAACAAATGTTTTATTTACGAAAATTCTCGGAATTCGCTTCTTTTCAATCTGGAAATCGGCGTACTTTGCTTATTTAATCAGGCTCTAATATGTTGAATATCAGGTTGTTTTAAATTTGATCCGTAAGATATTATCATCACAAAGTCGATAAAAAGGCTGCCCACAAAAATATTGGTCCGTTCGCCGTGACCTCCAATCCCAAACTATCAAAATAACAAGGTTATATAGGCCAAACGGCCAAATATTATTGTAGACCACCCGTTTTTTTTATTTCATTATCACATTATTTTACGATCCAAGTGAAAAGCAAATAAATCCAGATTGAAAACGCCCCAGCTCCGAGAATTTTCGTAAATAAAATATTTATAACTTTTAATCGGATGTTAATAATTTTATAAAATGGGATCTGTACCACGGACTTTTTTTGTGGTTAATAATTTATTTTTTATTGAGGTTTAATACATTTTAATACACTTAATGGCACTGAGTATTAGAGCTGTAAGGCACATTCCTAACGTATTTACTTGCACATTTCAACCCTATACAGGAGGAGTTTATTTACAAAAGTTTATCATACAACATGCGAATTCACATACAATATATGTATATGTTATACTTACATTTTATTCATGCTATTGCTTTTTTTTTTTTTTAATAACCATTTAAGAAAAAAAAACATAAAATAGGAAAATAAGAATAAAAACAAAAAAAAATTGAATTAAAGCTAAAATACTTGTTTGCATGAAAATAAGTTTTTTTAGGCTTTTTTTTTTTAATAATACTTGTATATATATAAATATATATATATATATATATATATATATATATATATATATATATATATATATATATATACACGTATTATTAAAAAAAAAGCCTAAAAAAACTTATTTATATATGTATATATATATATATATATATATATATATATATATATATGAATATGAAATAGAGTTTATGTGTGTGTGTGCGTGTGTGTGTGTGTGTGCGCGCGTGTGTGTGTGTGTGTTTCTGTGTGTGTGGGGGTGTGTGTGTGTGTGTGTGTGTGTGTGTGTGTGTGTGTGTGTGTGTGTGTGTGTTTGTGATTGTGCGTGCGTAACAAATGTAGAAACTAATAAAAACAAAGACATTTAAATTGAAGTGAAATTAAATAATAACAAAATTCTTATAAAAAAAAAATAAACTAAGTGAAAATCCTTTACTGAGGTATATTACAATCTGACAAATGTAAGAACAATAGTAATAGTGACAGAAGAAAATAAACTTAACAAAATAAAAATAAACAACATTAAGAAATTAAATGAATAAAAATTAATGAAAATAAATTATTAGAAATGAATAAATAGATAAAACGAGCAAACGAAAGAAGTACTAACAATTATACTTAATTACAATACGATCATACGGACTATTAGAACTACTGACTGTGACAGATTTTATAATATATGGACACGTCAAATTTTTCCCGCTTGTTAGAAATCTAATTACGACGGGACGGGCACAGAGCTGGCAAACGCTTAAAAATTCCTCAGACTAAAGGATCCAGGATTTAATTATGGGGGGGGGCATCAGCCCGAAAGATTTTTATTTTGTGTGTATATATTAGGATAAATACTTCAAAAGGAAGAATGAAACTAACTACCTATATGAAATGGTGTTTAGTGATTCCTTAAGTCCTATTAAATGTAATTAGACCAACAATAATACTTTTAGAAATGATTTTTTTCATAAAACAGGGTTATATATTACCTATTTTTGGGGATGGGGGTGATGTGAGGACTTCTGCCCGAAATTCCCTCCTCCCCGTAGATCCGCCTGCGTCTCAGACTTGACTAGGATGAGAACTACTACTTAACTAGTCTCCTAGAGGGTGCATTTTGGGGCCTCAGATACCCAGCTACGAGGATCATTTACGATGGAATGATAGTGGGTATTCTGAGGTACGCCTCTCCTGCGTGGTCTCAGAATCTCTCACACCGTCAGAAACGCAGATTGGCGACAATTCAACGTACGGCTCTGTTCCGGGTCACCAAATCATACCGAAGTGTGTCTCACGAGGCGGTGCAGATCTTAGTAGGAGGGATACCTCTCGACCTTCTCCTGCGAGAAGACTAGCTTTAAGAGAAGACTAGATATTTAAGTTAAAAAAAGAAGGCTCAGCAGAATATCCGGGTGAGGATTCCAGAAGACCCAAGAAAATGGAAGAAGATTATCTGGGAGGATACCACAGATGAGTGGAATCGGCGGTGGGTAACTACCTTGAAAGGAGCAGCTTTAAAGAAATATTTCTCTACCACTCGAAGTCGCTTGAAAGCGAAGTGGATTCTCCCGGACTGCTGGGTCTCTCAATTCCTTACTGAGCTTGGGGGTTTCCGCTCTAAGTTACATAGTTTTGGAAAAGACATAGATCCTCTATGCCTCACTTGCAGAGTACCGGAGAGGGCTGAGCACGTCATCGTCAACTGCACCGACTAAGGGCCGAAATGATAACAAAAATTTGAGTCTTTGGCCTCACGGAGGATTAATTTCCCGAGTTAGTGACAGTGCAGAACTACCCGTATTACAAAGATTTTGTGTACGGCTGGGAAGCGGCCCTGGGGCCCTCCCACTTTAATCTGGGAAGAAGAGGACCTGATAATGGAAGGTCGACAGGTTAATATGGTGAAAATAATGAAAAAAGTAGATATTTGAAAACAAAATGACAATTAATTTGTGGTTTAATAGCAGGAATGGCATGCACGTGTGTGATATGCCATCCCTGCAAAATTCCGTGTAGCCGAAAGGCAAGGAAGGGAGGCATAAATAAATAAATAGTTAACTTGACCGACACTATACAACGATTAATCGATTCGGCAATGATCAATTTGCAAAAAAATTAACGCATATCCCCCTTAAAATGCATATTATCCTAGCAATAAAAGGGATTCCATTATACGATTTTCTCAGGAACTAAACTAAAAAAAAAAAAATTATTTTAATATAACATAGACTCAAAATGATTCAATTCGTTTGACATTTCACATTGTTCTAAAGCATGACAGTGATTTTGCACAGGTCATTTCTGTATCAATATTTCATTTATTGTTAAATATTACTGGTTGATTTTATTTTTAGATTTTTCTAATTATTACTTATAAGTTATTCAATATTGTATACGTTTATTTGTAATATGCATGATTAATACTGTTAAATATTTTACATCAATACTTGAAGAAGTAAATATATTACTATGTATCAGCAATAACTATAGTTGCGTTATTAAAAAAAAAAAAAAAAAATGAAGTATTTTTAAAAATTACAAATGATTATGAAAGATACTATTAATAATTATAAACCAATCATGTAAATACAATAAAAGTGATAAAGAACTGATGAAGCAATACACTGTTTAATACCAAGAAGATATAATAATTTTTATTTTTATTGCTAAAATAGAATTGTGTATTTTTATTGGAAGATTGTATCTGCCAAAAATCGAAGACATTAGGTATTATGGGTTTAGTTTAATATAATAATTGAATATTTAATAACATAAACGTTTTAATTAATGTTAATGTACTTTCTGCTTTTTAATTTTTTTTTTATTCTTCGTACTATTACTATTATTGTATTTAATACATATGTCTTTGTTTTCAAAGTTTGACAATAATCAAATATTAATATATAAATATTAACATATATTCAAGTATTATAATAGCAACTTCACTTTGAATAAGCGTATCGAATAATATTCGAGATTTTATTTTAGTAAAGATAATATCAAAGAGAAGGATGGTTGGGGTGATCAGTGATAAATAAAAAGGCAAAAAAAAAAAATAATATTTATTTTAACATTTGCTTATTTTTTAACATTATATATTATTATTTATTTTTGCCTTTTTATTTATCACAGATCCCCCCAACCCTCGTCCCCTATATTATTCACGACAGTCAATTATCAACCCAAAAATAAAGATATTACCTTTATAAGATATCGTTTGATTACAAATAAAATTAATTAAAATATTGTCAAACTTGTGTAGTTTTGATGTTTTTCTTTTTCTGCTCTAAAGTTTTAAAATCTTTAGACAAGCAAAACGTCTTAAGTAATCCTAGTTCAATAATACTATTTAATAAAAATAGTATTTATATTAATTAAGATTTGGCTTTAAGATATTTGCA